CCTGTCTGAATGAGGGACAAGCTGCTCTGGGGGCAGGGGTGCCAGGAGGGACGTGGGCTCAGCTGTCCAGGCAGGACCAGAGTCATGATGGACATGTGGGTGATTGGCTGGCCCTCAGAGCCCCAGAATGCTCGTCTGTGCGTGGCTCTATCTGAGCCCTGGAGGGCTGGACCCCCAAGGCCCCTTCCATCCTGGTGACCCCACACTCCAGTCTTGATCAGAATGTCCAGGGCTGTGCCCTGGCCTTGGAGAGGGGGGTGAGTGGGGAGTGTCCAAGCAGCGTGTAGGTTTCCAGGACCCCGTGCACCCCCAGGCGGCGGGGCCATGCCTGGTGCACGTGCTGGTTGTGGCCTCCGGGCAGTGCCTCCTGGCTCCCGGCATAGGCCACAGGTGACTGCCACAAGCAGCCCTGCCCGGGCCTGAGATGCCCCCCTACGTGGATGGTCAGTGCTGGGGCTGGCCTTCGGGCGCTCGTGTTGGGCGAGAGGCACTCGGGCAGGACAGGGTCCTGGGTCCGGAATCCTGTCTGAGTGAGGGACAAGCTGTTCTGGGGTGCCAGGAGGCAGGGGGTGGGGGCTCCGCTGTCCAGGCGGGACCAGAGGAGCTGGTAGGCTGGAGCCGAGGGCTGCGGTCCCGCCCCTGCTGCCCTTCCCTGTGGGGCTCTCCCGGCCCCCTCCCAGCCCCCTCCCCACCATCACCTCCCCAGCCCCCCACCCCGGCTTTCTCCACCAGGACAGAGCCGGACACCTGCAGATGGCCTGGCCGGGATACTGCTGACCAGCACCCCGAGGCTTTGGTGGGAGAGACTGTGCAGGTGGGGGTGGGCTCCCGGTTGACTGACGTGGAGGAGAAAAAGGATCTTGAAAATGCTTTCTTCTTGTTTCTCTTATCTCCTGCTGGAAGTGGCGCTGGGGTGGGGCTTCCACTGTTTCCGGCATCTTCAGGGTTTGGTTTTGCTGCTGGCAGAACTGGGGTCCTCCCTGCGAGAGGAACCCCAGAGCGCCAGCGCGTTTTTGTTTCCAGCCACCTTATTATTTAAACCAGTGCCGAGTAGGGTTTCTGTTGAACCACCTTTGGGCCGCAGTCTGGGAAACCGTCACTGGGCGCCCGGGACCAGGGCGTTTGGGCCGGGCAGGACGTGGCTGTCTGGGGGGGCCCTGCAGGAAGCGCTGCCTGGGGCCCAGGAGGACACAGCCCTGCAAGCCGCCCCTGGAAGCTCCTGGTTTCGGCTCGTTACGTACGGCCAGGGCCCTGCCGATGCCCAGGCGGGTGGGCGCCTGCCCTCCTGCTCGCCGGGGCCTCCTTCCCGGGTCCTCTGACCCTGCCCGGGCTGGGCTGGCTGAGTCCTTCTGCAGCGACACCTGTAGCCTTTGCTTCCAAGTGTTGGGGGGTCCTGGGGCTTTGGAGGACCTGGGGGTGGGCCCGGGGCAGGGCTGGGGCGCTCGGGGAGGAGGGGCCTGGTGGGGGTGGGAGGCAGAGGCCGGGCCAGGCCTGGCCTCGGGCCCCCTCTGCCTTGCCCCCAGGCTGGCCTGCGTCCGCTGGTCTGTCCAGGAGGACGTCCCCGCCCATTTGCTCTTTCTGGAAGTTTACAGGTTGTGGTGCATCAGCCCAAAGTCCTTGGCGTTGTGTTTTTGCATTTTTTCTTAGTTTTCAGATTTTTTTTAAACAAAGTATTTTTTTAGGTGCGATAACCCAGAAGGGGCCCGTTGGGGGTGCGTGTGTCCTGAGCCTCTGTCCTGGGAGCCGAGCCCCCGGCTCCTTCCAGCTCACCCCTGGAGACGAGGAGGGTCTGGAGCGGAGGGAGCGGACCCCCCGCTCGCCCCTGGCCCGGCCTGGCCGGGGGAGGCCGGGCGCTGCTGCGTTGGGGCGGGGGCCCCGTCGGGAGGGTCGCAGGCAGGGGCTGGAGCCGCAGGAGCTCCGAGGTGAGGGGTGGCCTGTTGTCGAGGGAGGACGCGGGGCTCTGCGAGACGGTCGCCGACAATCCCCTTTACTTTGTACTGTGTGTCTTGGTTCTCTGTGTTTTAATAAATCCTTTGGGAAAGACTGAATCCAAGTGCTCTCCTGAGCTGCTCACTGCGCCCCGGGGGAGGTGGGGGCGTCGCCTCAAGTCACCTCCCGCTTGACCAGACACAGCCCTATGGGGGGCCCGAAAAGGGGTGTGCTGCCTGCCTCTCCTACCTGCACCCCTAAACTCACACCTCATCACATCAGAGAAACCCTGACCCCCCCCCTCCCCCCGAGATAGCCGGAGGGCCTCCCTGGCCTAGGGCTCCGGCCCCAGGGGGCACAGCGGCTGTGGGCGGCGGGAGGGGGGCTCTGTCTCAAGTCGCTCAGACGGGGCAGGCCTCTGACCTGCAGCCCCCACCTCTGCCCTGACCTGGGGCGCCGGCCCTAGAAATGAGGGGTGCAGAGAGCAGCAGACCCTGAATTTGAACTTTATTTTATCATTCCATAAATACGGTGGCTGAGTCTCGGCTGGGGGGTCGCTGGAAGCATGAGGCCTGGTGGGGCGGCGTTAGCTGAGGGTCCAGCCAGCACGAACTGGACGAGAGAGCGTTATTTACACGGCCGGGCGGGGACAAGCCAGACAAGCCCCCCGTCATTCCTCGGGACCTCGGGCTGACTGGTGGTGGGTTTGGGTGGGACCAGGGGGCTCTGGGTGTCATTAGCAGGGAAGACAGACCCCCGCCCCATCTCTAAGGGGCTTCTGGTGCCCACTTCCACTCCCGGAGGGCAGCTGGGGGGCAAACTAAGCTTCCAGCAGCGGGCAAGGCAGGCTCTGCACACCGGGGCTGCCTCTCCCCCAGGGGGTCGGTGATACCCGGACGCCCCGGGAAGGAGCCTGGGCCCGGCCACCCTCCGGCCTGCCCTGCCCGGCTCTCCCGATTGTAGGCTCTGGTAGTCCTTGGTTTCCCTTGGGGGCCTAGCTGCCTCCCCCCACCAAATGGTGAGACCCACCCCCAGAGGGGCGCCTGTCTTCCCTGCCAGTGGGGATGGAAATGGACACCGGAGCCGGGCTGCCTGGGCCGGCCGCGCTTGGTGCTGGCAGGGGCGCTTGCCTTTGGCCGAGCTTGCCCCGGGGCCTTGTCTCCGTTTGGCCAACGTGTGGTCTTTTCAGGCGTGGCTCACGGGAGCTGTGGACCCCTCGGGCCCCACTGCAAGCCCTGGTCCAACTGGGCAGGGCTAGGGGGCGCGGCAGAGTGGGGGGACCAGCTACTCTCCCTGGGGAGGGCTGGGCGGGCTGGCCCCTTAGCATGGTCAGCCACTGGGGCTCCCAGGCCCACAGAGTTGGGTCCCCAGGTGGGAGGCGGGACAGAAGCCAGCCCACCGCGGGGCCCTGTCCCTGGAGCAGGACGCCTGCACCCTGCGCGCTGGTGGGGGCCAGGCTGGGGCTGGACTGGGACAGGCCCCTCCCACACCCACAGTGCAGCTTCTGGTGAAGCTGGTAGGAGACTTGGTGGCAGAGGACCCCTAGGCCTGGAGGGTGAGGAAGGGAAGCTTCTGGACTCCAGGGTCAGCACAGAGATCTGGAGAAAAGGCAGCTGTCCCCCTCCCCTGCCTTAAAGCTGCCCACCCACCCTCGACCCCCAGGGCTCACTGGTAGGCTCCCAGAGAGTGGTGGGGAGCCCTTGGACAGCTGCTTCTTGGAGGGCAGGGCACTACCCTCTGTGCCTGCCACTGGGGGGCGAGGAGAGGGTGGCAGGAGGCATGAGGGGTCCCTGGAAGAGCTGGCACAGCCTGGTTCCTACAGAGGTGCCGGCTCTGCCTGCTCTGTCCTCCCTCGCTGTCTGGTCTGTTCTAGGGTGCTGGCTGGTGTGGGGGAGGGTGTGACGGACCCCAACCCTCCCTCCCCTGGGAAGTGTGCAGACAGGGGCCAGGGGAGGCACAGCTCTGAGCACCTGCTTAGCACCCCAAGGCAGAGGGCCTCACCCCCCTTCTCTGAAGCCTGGGAGGGGGCACCTCTCTGGGAGAGGCTCCCTGGGGTCCCTGCCTGTGCCATGGGGTCTGTGGCTGCTGCCCAAGTCCTCAGCCCCTGGGCACACAGCATGGACACCCGGGCCTCTCCCTCGCTGGAAGAGCCTCAGTTCATTCTCTCTGCAGATCCCAAGGCCACCGCCGGGGCAGAGCTGACAGAGATAGGGGTGGGGGTGGGGCGAGGTACTAGAGGCAGGGTGGGGGGGGCAAGGTTCTAGAGTTGGATGGGGGCGAGGTACTAGAGGCAGGGCAGGGGAGGTTCTAGAGGCAGGGTGGGGGAGGCACTAGAGGCAGGGGTGGGGGCATGGTTCTAGAGGCAGGGGTGGGGGAGGTTCTAGAGGCAGGGGTGGGGGGAGGTTCTAGAGGCAGGGGGGGGGGCCGAGGTAATAGAGGCAGGGGTAGGGGGCGAGGTTCTAGAGGCAGGGGTGGGGATGAGGTACTAGAGGAGGGTCTCCCAGGACCCAGAGGACGCGGCCCTGGCCGCAGCCGCTGTGTGCACTGAGCCACCCCGTGTGTGGTCAGTGGCCGCTAAGCAGGCGTGACCTCGGGCTGTGGGGGCAGGACAGAGGACTGGGCACCTGGCAGGGAGGGCAGGGGGCCCTGGACTGGAGCCCGCTCCACCAGGTCCCCTCCCAAGTGCTCTGGGCTCATCATTTCTGTACAGGTAGGGCTGGAGGGAGGAGGGACAGTGAACGTGAACTCAGACCCCCAACCTTTTTGTGGATCCCAAACTGCAGATCCCTGATCCTGCCAGCACAGGTGAGGGCAGGGTCAAAGGGCAGCGCAGAAGGCCCCTCGGGTCCAGCAGCACAGGCGAGCACGGAGCAAGGCGTGGGGAAGAATCTGAGGTCAGGCCACGCGGGACGTCCCTGGCTCCCTTGCGACAGGGAGCGGGAGGGAGTCCCCAGTGGGGAGCCCCTGCCCCAGCATCCAGGCTCCCCAGATCTGGGCTCCTGTTCCTCTTCCCCTCCCCCAACACCAGGTGGGGGTTCCGGGCAGAGGAGCGCCTGGCCTGGCAGCCCTGCCTGGCCGAGGCCCTGCGGGGTCCGCCCTGCTCAGGGCGCCAGTCTCCACCGAGAAGGGCGGGGAGGGCGGAGGCGTTTCTTCCGGAAGGGCGAGCAGAGGCGCAGGCTCGGGTGGGACCGCGTGACCGTCCTTCCTAACCAGAGCCACCTCCGGCACCAGGCGCCCCGCCCTGCGAAGCAGCCAGGGGATCTTGCAGCGACGTTTGCGATCTTTCCAGATGACGTCTTGGCGCGTGTTCTTTTTGATGCAAACCACGCGTGACTTGGCCTTGAAACAGCTGAAGCGAGCGAACAGAGACTAGGAGGGAAACGGAGAGTGTCCTGGCCGGCCGGCGGGGCCTCTTAGGACCGGTAGTCCTTTTTGCTGTAGGGTTTATTGCCCAAGATGCTATCGATCTCGTGGATGATGGAAGACGACAGTTTGGGAAGGACCTGTGCGCGCAGGACAAGAGCGAATCAGCACTCGCCCCGACGGGCCTGGCCGAGAGCAGCGGGCGGGACTCTCCCACCAACCCCCACCCCAGCCCTGGCCCCGGCCACCCTGCCCTCCTGGCCTCGGGCGGGTAGCTGGAGGAGATGGGGACCACACTGCTTTTGTATTCCAGAAGGCTTGGGGTAGAGGGGACACCTGTCCTCTCTGGCCTGCTCTGTACTCTCCTCATGGAACTCCAGCGTGCTCCAGCACCCTCTGGAAGGTTGGTGGTGGCATAAATGCAGATTCCAGGGCCAGAAGGCCTGATTTCCACACCCTCCCAAACTGCTTTGCCAGCACTCCCTCCCTTAACCCAAATAACAGGAGGGGGCTGCCTGGAGGTGAGGTGCCCGTCCACAGAGGCCCCAAAGTGCAGTTCTCTGCAGTCTCCACAGTTCTCTGCAGGCTCCTTTATAACTAGCCACTGAGCTTCAGCCGAGCCCACCTTCCTATGCCCTTGGCCCACCTCTTAGCCAGTAAAAATGTAACTTGTTCTCAGGCCTCCCCGGTGGCGCAGCAGGTTGAGCGCAGCGCTGCGAAGCTGTCTGCAGCCTCCACAGCGCGGCTTCGATTCCCGGCCGGCCAGGGAGCAACCCACACGGCGCAGCAGACCTCTCCTGTCTCGCCAGCTGCTCCCCTCAGCAGTGTATTTTGTCAGTCTGCCTGTTCTGCTCCCCACTCTGTCTCTGGTGAATCCTCTCACCCTCCCACGCCTCTGGCCTGTACCCCAGTTCTTGTATAAATAAATAAATCAATCAATCTTAAAAAAAACGTAAATTGTTCTCAACCCTGCTCACCCAAATCGACACAAAGCCCTTCCCTTTCCTGGGGCAGGGGCGGAAGTGTCTTCCCCTCCCGCTTCTTTGCCAGTCGACTTCCGGGAAAGCCTTTTCTTTTCTCAAAGGCTGGCGCCATGGTAACTCGCTTCTCTGAGCGCCAGGTGGCGAGTCTGCTGCTCGGCGAGGTGACAGCCCATTGAGCTGGGCACTGACCTCTGCTCCAGCCGGGGCGGCCGTGCCCGCGGGCTCACTCACCTGTATGGCTCCGATGTTCTCCATGAGCTGGTCTGCGCTGGAAGCCCCCAGGAGCACTGAGCTGACCCCCTCGTTCCTCAGGCACCAGGCTGGGGGCAGTGAGACCAGGGTAAGAGAGGGGTACGCCCTGCAAGGCCTTTTCTTCTTCTGCCTGGCCAGAGAGACCCCAGACTTTCGGCCTGAGGCCAGGATGCCCTGGAGGGGCCTGGCCGGCCCAGGGCTGTAGTGCTGGGTGGTAACTTGGCCCAAGGGGGGACTTGCGGAGGTGTGGGGGAGCCTGAGCGTCCCTGGTGGAGAAGGGCCCGGTGCTTAGGGATCCCCCTCCACTCCCCATGCCCGTGGGAGCCTGTCGCCCATGGCTGGCGGGCAGAGGGCCAGTCAGGGGCTCAGGGACCCGCGCCTGCGCCCGCCCCAGCCCTGTTACCGATGGCGAGCTGGGGCAGCGTGCAGCCCAGGCGCTCGGCGATGGCCTGCAGCTCCTTCAGCTTGGCCTGCTGGCGCCGGCCCTCCTCACTCAGGATCTTGTCCTTCAGCCACTGGTAGCCCTGTATGGGGGAGCAGAGCCCAGAGGTGAGGGGCCCCCGGGTCTGTCTGCAGATGGCTGATCCTTCCGCATCTTGTCCCCATATGGCAGCGCCCGTGCCACTCAAAGCCTGGGCCGCATCCCCAGCCCAGTCACACGCCAGGCCAGACCCGGGCAGCTGGGAGGAGGGGAGTCACACGCCCGGACCGGGAGGTGGCCTCCACCCTGGCTTCTGCCCGGAGGCCTGGCTGCCCAGGGAGGTGTGTGCCGGCCTGGGAGCTGCAGGACCCCCAGCTCTGGGGGAGCCACATCTCCCTGTGCCCATGAAGCCCGTGCCTCCCAGGGGCTCCCTGGCCTTGCGGGGGGCTGGGGGAGGAGAGGTGAGGCAGGCTGTTCTGTCCTCGGACCCGGGGCTCCAGTGCTGCCTGGCCCTGGCCTGGGCAGGACTTCCTCTGCCTGCTCCTTCTCCCTTGGCCTGCAGTCTAGAGACCCCCCCGGAGTCACCAACGCGGTGGGGGGGGGCTGTGGACCCCGCCCAGGGTGTGAATGCTGAAAGGAGAGCGAGCAGCGGCGGAAGGGCAGCGCAGGAGTGAAGGGGATCTTCAGCTGGGCTACCCCACGGCTGGGCAGCCCTTCCAGGCACCGGGCCAGAACGGCTGGGCTCCAGGTTCCCAGCCCCCTGCCCACCCGCAGCCCGCGGCCCGGGGAGCCCCGACCAGCACCCAGCGGCCTGCCCAGATCCCCACCTCCCCACGATGGCCCCGCCGCCCCTCCCCAGACCCGCACCTTCAAGGAGGCTCTGGAGTAGGGCGGGATGCCACTGTCGTACTTTCCAGAAACGATGCCGCAGGCCAGCGGGGACCAGGTCATGGCGCCCACTCCTGAGAGGGGAGCCAGGCAGTCAAACTCGGGGCCCAGGGGCAGTGGTGGAGCGGGAAAGAAATGGGGGGCAGAGGAGGAGCAAGGGGAGAGGAGGCGGGCTCATGCCGGGGGGCGCACCGATCTTGTGGAATAGCTCGGGCAGCTGCACCTCCACCTTCTCGCGCTGGAACATGTGGTACTCGGCCTGCTCGCAGATGGGCGGGATCAGGTTGAACTGCCGGGCCACGGAGTAGGCCTCCTGGTGGGGCAGAGGGCAGGGGTGTCCCTGCTGGTCAGCGGGTCGGGGTCCGGGTCCACCAAGACACTCTTTCCCGGCTATCCGGGAAACAGCCGGCCTGCCTTCCCTGCCCCACCCCAAATTTCCTGGGAACTGAGAAGCCAGGGTGATGAGGGGGTGGAGGAGGGACCCAGAGGATGAAGGGGCTTGGGGGGACGCACAGCCGAGTACCGAGACTTGGTTCCAGCACTCACTGGCTGGGTGGCCTCGGGCAAGCGGCTCACCCTTCCGTGCCTCAGTTTCCCCATCTGTCATGAGAGTGAAATGTGCTTGCGGCCCTCGTGACTTGCGTGGCACAGGGCTGTTACTAGGGCTGACGGCAGGGGGGCAAACACCCCCTGGGGCGCGGGGCGGGTATGGCCCACTCCCGACTGGGCCTCGAGGCCAGGACTCCACGGGCTGCAGGGGCGAGGGCCAGGCCTGATGTGTGGGGAGGACCAGTGGGGCAGGACGCCCCGACCCAGCACGCCCCGCAGGGGGCCCTACCATGATCTCCATGGAGCTCCAGCGCGACGTGCCCCAGTACATGGCCATCCCCTGGTTGATGACGTGGGTCATGGCACGCACCGTCTCTGTCACGAGAGAAGGGGAAACGCAGGTGGGGGGCGGCCGGGGCCAGCAGGGGACGTTCTGCAAGCGCAGGGGCGCTGGGGTGCTGCAGAGACGGCTTGCAAGCAGTGTACTCCGGGCTCGCGCTCGGCGTGGCTGGGGCGCTCGGGACGGCGCTCGGGACGGCTCGGGGCAGCGGAACCGCGGTCCGAGAAGAGGGCTGGGGACCCTTCCCCGACTGGCTCGGCCTCGTGGCGTCTCTGAGCGTGGTTTATGGAGGGACTATGCAGTTCCGTGGCTGGTTACACAGACCGTGGCCCTCGCCTCTAGGGTGGGGTGGGGCTGGGGGAGAAGCGGCTGCAGGGCCGAGGCCGCAGCCCTGGGCAGGGCGAGGAGCGACACCGAGCGTGCCCGCTTCTGTCCCCGCGCGGCTGCTCCAGGTTCTCGCTGGGGTCAGGGAGGCACGGCGGCAGGACAAGGGGCAGGGGCCCTGGGTGTCCCGGGGTGGGGGCTGCAGGGACCACGCTCCTGTTTCTCAAGCCTGCCTGGTGCCAGGCTGAGGGGTCCTCTTCCCGCAGGGTGGTGGGGGGTCTTCTGGGACAGTGGGGACCTGAGTGTCCTCCTGTGACAGGCCAGGAAGGGGCACTTAGTCGCCACGTGGTCTGGAGACAATCTGAGTACTGGGCCGCTGGGCACTGTGATGCCCCAGGACTGAAGCCCTGAACCCCGCGCCTCCTTGCAAGTCAGAGAGCCCCCACGCCCCACGATCTGTCCTCCCAGTTCCCCGGAGAGTGTCGGAAATGAAAGTTGGTTGTGATTTTTAAAAACAGGACTTGGCCTGGATTTGGGAATGTGGGGTGTCGCCAGCCCCGCGGGAAGGCATGGCCGCGGCCGCCCGTACAGTGCTTGCAAGTGCGACGCCGGAGGCAGTGAGGGAAGAGGCTGGAGAACAAGTGTTTCTAAAAACAGCGGCAGCGGCGGCCCTGGAGGCTCCCCCCTCCGGCAGTGGCTCCCGGTTTGCCACCAGGAGGCGGGGAAGCCGCGGTCCCTGCGGACGGCGCGGAGGGCGGGCTGCAGGGGAGGAAGGAAGGAGACTGCTGGGCGTGTTCTGGAAGCTTCCCCAGGGCAGCGCGGCCCCTTCTCCTGCGAGAGCAGCACCCCTGCGGGGGCCGTACTCCCACCCACTCCGGGCCCCTGAGTGCCCCTTTAGCCGAGGTCCCCCTTTTAGTAGAAATCTTAGGGTTCACCCAGGACCTCGGAAAGATCATCCCTGGGCCTCCACACCTGCAGGCCGAGTCCTGCTCTCTCCTTCCTTCCTAGGCCAGGGCTGGCAGGGACGCCTGGACCCGGGACCCCGCCGGTTGCGCTGCCCACACCCATAGGCCAAGAGCGCAGCCCTGGGGGGCGGGGCTGCAGGGTCCCAGGAAGGCGCCTCCCCCATCTCAGTCCCGAGTGGGGTCCCGGCTACTGTCCCTGTCAGGGTCTTTAGAAACACTCTCGAGGCGCCTGGACATGCAGGGGCTGCCCGGGTCTGTGCAGCCAAGGCTCAGGCCACATGCCGGAGAGAGGAGGCCGCAGGACACCCTGTGCTCCCCGGAGCCCGGCTGTCCTGTCCAGGGACACGTGCAATGCCCTGCGGCCCCCCTTCCAGGCAGAGAGGGCAGTGGGGTTCACAGGGCACTGGGGGCTGGGCCAGGGGGCAGGAGCGTGTGAGGACCTGCGGCTGGTGCCAGGGGGCAGGGCCCCGGAGCCCACAGGCAGGGTTTGGCCCTTGGTCTGTGCTCTGCCCATGACGTCAGTGACCCCAGGAACCAGGGGCATGAGGGAAAACGGCCCTTCATGTCAGTATCTAATGTGGCTGAGCAGAAGCCGGAGGACCAAATCCTTCCAGCAGCTGCCGAGACCGACAGTATCTCCTGCCGAGTGACAAATTATACATGGGAGGGGTCAGGTGGCAGTGCCAGCTGGCGGGCGGGAGCTTCCCCATGGCATCAGCCTAGTTCCAGGGCGGTCGAAGCCTGCCTTTGGCGTGGGGCCCTGGGGGCCTGGCGGAGGGGCTGGCAGAGAGCAAGCCTGGCTGGAGGCCGCCCCAGGTCTCAGTTTCCCCGACTCCTGGAGAAACACGACTCTATTTGGATGCAGGGTCGGGTTGCTGGTGCACACAAACACAGCACGCAGCCAGGCGTGCGGAGGAGCCAGGTGCTGGGGGGGCAGTTTGCCCCCCAACCCCCTGGTTTTCACTTCTGGGGGAGGCAAGAGCTGGGAAGATAAGATCCCTGAGGCCGCTGCTCTGGGGCCCATGTGCTGGCTCCTATGAGAACCCGGTCTCCCCCAGCCTTCTCCCAGACCTCCGGGGGTTCAGGCCTGAGCACAGCCCCGAAGGGGGGAGGCCGCGCCCATCACAGCAATGCCAGGCGGGTGAGGGGTCATGCGCGGGAGGGCGGCGGCCCCAGCTGCGAGGGGGCGCCACGCTGAGGGGCTTTTCCTGCACTTGCAAGACGTCCTCACAGGACACTGATTCCCTTTATGCATTTTATGGAGAAGTTTGCCGGGGGGTGGGGAGAGAGTCGTGTAAATAAAAACACTGTCTCATAAAATGCAGCCTGGACACAAAGTCAATAGTCGGGCGAGGGCACTGTGTACCTTCTATGATGAATGTCCTTGACTTGGAGGAACTAAGTGAGTCCCCTGGTGGCAAAAGAAAGATTTAAAGAGACCAGAGTTTACAGCTGCGGGAGCGCGGGAGGCAGGGGTGGCACGGACGCGGCAGGGACACACATCACGTCTGCAGGATCCTCGTTGTTAAAAAACCCCAAATCATACACACGCAGACATGCGTGCACGCATGGCGCACACACGCACGCACGCACGCACGCAAGAGGGGATATATAACCTCAGCACGACTTAATTTTCCTGGTCCCTGAAGCCGTAAAGCAGAGATGAGAAGGTATCTGGGGCAGAAGTTGGGGTCGGGAGGGGCTGTGATCCCCAGAAGGGGTAGAGAGAACAGATAAACTAAAAAAAAACCCGAAAACCAAAACCAAACCACTTTCCAAAGAAACACTTTATCCCCCCCGGCAGAAAACGATGGAAAAGAACCGGCGGCGGCAGTCACCCTGTCACGGCTTCACTTAGCCACCAAATACCAACAGCTGAGCGGGCGGAGAACATGGCACACGGTTCTGAATGCGGGGGGTGGGAACTGGTGTGCCCAGGCTCAGATCCTGAGCAAGGAGGGGCTCCGCCTGGAGGTGCCAGGGTGCGCCTGGGGGGTAGGGGTGACAGTCTGAGACTGAGCTTAGGTCTGCCCTGCCCGCCCCCACCCTCGCCAGGAAGTCCTGGGCCTCTCCTCCCGCCCAGCCTGTTCTCTGACCTCTGGCCCGGGTGCCCAGGGGGCCCTGTGCTGGTGGCATCAGAGCCTCAGGTTCAGAAGCGTCTGTCTTTGGGCATCGGCACCAGGCCCAACCCGCTGGGGCCTCTGCAGGGAACCTACCTTCCATGGGCGTGTTGGGGTCCGGACGGTTGGCAAACACCACGTCCACATATTCCAACTGCAGCCGCTCCAGGGAGGCTTTGAGACCTGGGTGGGGGAACCGGGAGGCGCTGTCATGTCTGCACAGACATTGCTGGTCCCTGAGCATTTTGGGGTTCAGGGAACAAGAGTCAAAAGAGAGGCTCCAGCACCAGGAGCTGTGGGGGCAGATGTGGGGGCTGGTGCCAGCCAAGGTCTTGAAAAGGCACTACAGAGTGGGGGCGCATCCCAAAGGGTTGGGGCCCTGCCCCTTCAGAAGGAAGTGGGGGTTCACAGGCCAAGTGTTCTGTGACTGAGTGAAGTGGGGACCCTCCAATGTACCTTTTCGGCTTCCTGGTGGCCTGTGTGGTAACAAGGGGGACAGCTACAGCTGTCTGTGACACCAGGCCAGCGGTGTCTGAAGTGCGCTAGTCATGAGCCAGCTCTCAGACCGTGGACCACACACATACACACAAGCCCAAGTGTGTGCGCATGCACGCGCGCGCACACACACACACAACACAAGTTATCTGACTTTCTCTTTGGAGCTTGTATTCACACACATGGCTTATCTTCACATGACCCAGCCTGAGCAAGTAGAAGCAACTCACTCTGGGCTGAACCCCAAGGCTGGCTGGACAGAGGGGGGTACTCAGAGGTAAGGGGTCCACACCTGGAGCGAAACTCCAGTTGCCTGAGGAAAATCCTCTTTATTATCCTCGGAGTATGAACTTCCCTGGGACTGACCAATGACTTCAGCTGTGGTCTCACATGCCTTTGCCCGCAGCCTACTCCCCAGCCAATCCAATTTATCTTCTTTCTTCTCAAACCCAGTCCCTGAAACCTGTATCACCTCCTTCTCTTTCTTAACTGAGGAGGTAGATTTGAGTTTACCTCTTGCCTCTTTGCCAATCGATTTGCAATAGAACTTTCTTTCCTCAAGCCCCAGTGTCATGGGATTGGCCCCTATGCGCATCGGGGAGCAAGTCCTTTGCTCAGAAACATACTCAGCACGTTCAGAAGAAGCTGCAGGGAGAAAGCGCTGGCGCTGAGGGTGGGATTGCAGGCAGCAAGGCCACATCATCGCCGGCCCCCCCTCTCCTTTCTCAAGGCAATTTGAGACTTAGATGGCAGGCAGGACGCCCTCCTTCCTTGCACCCGTGTTTCCCTGCATATGTAGAGAGCTGCGCTAGAAGAACATTCCAGGCATCCCTGAATCCCCTGTCTGCTCCATCTCTGGGGTGAGGAGTGAGTCTGAGCAGCAGGAGTGAGTCCGAGTCTAAAACATTCAAAGAAGAATCAATACCAACCCTTCTCAGACTGTCTCAAAAGATAGACGAGGAGGGAACGCGTCCAAACTCATTGCACAAGGCCAGCATGACCCTCATGCCGAAACCTGAGACGGATGCCCTAAGAAATGATAGTTACAGACCAAAATGCCTGAGGAACACGGACGGGAAGTCCCCCAGAAAGCCTGAGGACGCTGAATTCAACACCACAACAGACCGCGGTTAGGGGGGGCTCTTCCCGGAATGCAAGGACGGTTCAGCATTTGAAAAACCAGCCACAAGCTCCCGCCCATTGCCAAAATGGAGGACAAAAGTCATCTGATCCACTCACATAGATGCAGAAAGACACTTGGCAAGATCCGGCTCTGTTTTCGATGAAAACTCAAAAACAGCATCATACATGGACCTCAGCATCATAAAGGCCACGCGTGACAAGTCCAAGGCTAACGTCACACTCCACGGTGAAAAGCTGAACGCTTTTCCTCTGAGTTCGGGAACAAGACAAGGACGCCCACTGCCCACAACTCCCACGCAATGCAGTATCCCAAGTCTCGGCCACAGCAATTAGGCAAGAAAAGGAGAGAGTGGCATCTAAGCCAGAAAGGAAGATGCGAAACTGTCACTATTTGCAGATGCAAACTCTGTCTCTACCGAAACCTCTTCAGAACAAGCGAATTCAGTAAAGTTGCAGAAAGCAAGATGAATGCATTTCCTCCTAGTCATTTGATTTTTTAATGGAGCGAGGATGTTACCTTGATGAAAACGGAATAAAAAAGGCACAGACGGTAAAAATGCAGCAGAAGGGGAGCCCTCCGTGGGCCCCTCGGTGCTGAGCCCCAGCTGTGTCCCACACGCCCCTCACCTGGGCCCTTCTGGCTTCCCGATAACCCGGGGTGAGTGTTCTGACTGCACGGGGGTGTGGGGAAGTGACAACCACGCTCAGGTCAGCACAGAGCCCAGCCTGTCAACCTGGGCCTGTCATGTCCTCCCCGGAGACAGCACTGCCCTCGAGGATACGGGGCCTGGCCTGCCTGCCCCCCGCCCTCATGCCATGGAGGGGCCAAGGGGGGGGTGCCTGGGTGCCCGGGTGGAGAGGCGTCCTCACGGCTGGGGCCCTGGGCTGTCTGGCTGGCAGGCAGTGTCTGTGCTTCCCTCACTTTTGCATCCACGGGCGGACGCCAGGGGTTTAGGGGTCTGTGGACTCAGAGGCCCTCTTACCTTCTATTATGTGCTTCCTCGAAAGGCCCCTCTCGGTCTCTGCTCTGAAAAACAGGCGACAGTGGGTGCGATGTCGCAAGCGGTGTTGGGGAGAATGTTTATGACGCGATGCTAGGGGAGAGCAGGTCAGCAAAGGGCCCCCGCGGCGTCTGGCTCTACCCGGGGTCCCGGGGGCTGGGGGCCGCCAGGGGTGGAGGCTTCTGCGTGCCAATTTGCCTTTCTGGCCGGCTGGGGTTTGCTTGTAAGGTTAAGACTAAATGGTGCTCGCAGCCCCCTGGGACGCTGTCCAGTCCCCGAGAGGGCGAGGCCCGGCCCCTGGAGGGCAGCAGAGCCGGGCCTGGGGCCCAGGAGGCGTTTGGACAATTCACATCTTTTTGTGTTTTCCAGAATGTTGAGGGTATTATCTTTGGGATCGGGAAAAAGGGCAGCCCCCTGAAGGTAGAAATAAACACGAAACAAGGTTGGAGGAAAAGTCCAACTCAAAGCCCCTTTCCTGGAACGCGATGACCCGCCAGGACGGGCGGCAGGAGCTGGGTGGGGAGGGAGGGGGCCGGCTGGGGGCGCGGACTGGCCAGCACCGGCCCGTCCTCTTAGCGGGAGACGATGTCCTGAGCCAAGTCCATGCGGGCTTCGTGGACTCCACGCCCCCCAGCCCCCAGCCAGCAAGACCCGGGGAACTACGAATCCCACGAACCCCACGGCCCGCGGAGGGAGGGCTGCCGGGCCGGAGGGCGGAGCGAGCAGCCATGCTCGGGTGCAGGAGCCGCCACGGGGGCTGCGGGCTCTCTCGGCTCGCGGCCGGCTTTCCCTGGCTCTCAGCGGCCCTGGGGCGTCTGGGTCAGTGGACCAGGTAGGACGCACTCACGAATTCATCTCCCTGAGACATTCACCTCTTCACGGCCCCTTCTTTTGGAAATAAACCTTTCATTAACCTTCTGTGCGCCTGCAGTTAAGTATTACGAGCCCCTTTAAGCGCGCAGGTGAGGACCCACAGTCAGGCAACCTGTTTCATGTCGGGGTTGCCCTGTAACAGTCCCGCCCCCCCAAGAGCCTCCTACTTGGGGCTCCATAGAATGGGGGGCTGCACCTACTTTCCTCCCCAGAAGATCTTGGTGGTGATCACAAGGCTGGATCGTCTGTGGACAGAAGACAAGGCGGGTGTTACTGAGCCCCTTGGGGGTCCTTCCTCCCCCCAGCCATGAGTTCAGTTCCCGCTCAGGGGCGAGGCCCTTCTCTATCCTTTGATGTTTGCCATGTGCTGAGCCCAGGGCCCCCCCCCCACCCCCCGGTCCTGGGGCGCTCCCTGGGGCCTAAGTCTGCTGTACCTCACGGGCCACGGCTGGGGACTCAGGGAATCCGTGTGTGGGATGCCATGGGGGGCCTGGGGGCCCACCGAGGAGGGAAAGGTTGGGTGGGGGCAGGCTGGGCTGTGGGGGGCCAGGAGCAGCAGGGGGCGAGGCTGGCGGAGTCTGGCTGGGGGTGGGACTGCGAGCCCCAGGTCGGGGGTGGTGTCGGGGAGGACGGCCCCTCCAGGCAGGGAGGTGACCTGGTGCATCCACCTAGGGCAGGTAATCAGGGGACTTGGCAAATGCATGCAATTTCCTTTAATTGCAGGGCGAGGAGCACTTTATTCTGGGATCAATTAGCACCATGAAGAAACAACACAGGCCTCTGGGGATGAGGTAAGAATAGGGGTGTCAGTCATCCATGCCTGAGGCTGGGGGTTCTGGGGCACATGGGGGGGCCCTGCTTTGTCATTGCTTCTGACGTTTCTGAAAGTAGAGACACGGGGTCACGGGGACCACAGGATGTGTCTCGGGTAAGGGGGGTGGGGGGGCCAACGGGCAGGCAGGTGCTCAGCCTGGCCTATCACAAGGCAGGTGGGATCCGCCTGGCAAGGGAGCGCAGTCTCCTGGCCTCTGGGGGGCAGCCTGGGGGGGAGAGTGTGAGCGCCTAGCCCCAGGCGAGAAGGGGTTAGAGACCCCAGACAACCCTGCCAGGGATGTGGACCCTTTGTAGGTGGGGACAGTCAGCTCCAGAGGGGGAGACTGGCTGAGTCCATGAACGGTACGGGGCGGGGGTAGGGGGGGTGGCGGGGCCCCTCCTCTGCCGTCTGGCGAGTTCCCCCGCACCAGGAGCTTCCTGACCCAACCCGAGTCAGCACTGCTCCTGACACCCCGAGTCCCTGCGGGGGGATGAGTTGGTGCACAGGCAGGGGGGCCGAGTTCAGTGAGGTCTTTCCTTCTTGGGACTGAATTCATACCCCACTGCGACTCAGCTGAAGCTCCCCCACCTCCCCAGCCCGGCTCCCCAGAGGAAACATTCTAGGACACCCGCCTTCCAGCAGGAAAATCCTGGGCCTCCCCAGACTTAAGAGGACTGGCTGGCGGCGCCCCCTGGACTGCCCGCTGGGGGTGGGGTGGAACAGCAAGGTGGGGCGTCCCCCCCATCCCCACACCCGGGGCATCTGCCTCTCTGGGCCCCAGGGACCTGCTGCTGGGGCGGGGCTCGGACAGCCGGTAATTACCTCCAGCCCTTCTTCTTGATGATGTTTCCTAACACCACCTCGGCCCTGCAAAAGCCCCGAGACACGAGATCCGTTACAGCAGAAACAGCTCCCTCCGCGCCCCTCCACGGCCCTCACCCCTCCACTGGCCCCTCCGAACAAACCGCAGGGCCGAGCGCCAGGCCCCCGCCCTCACTCTGGCGGCTCTCGGAGGGAGGCGGCCTGGGCTGGGAGCCGGGAGCTGTCTGTGTCCCGCGGGGCGGCCCGGGGAGCCTGTCCGGGCAGGGGCAGCGCGGGGCTCCCACTCGGGGAAGGAAGGCGCCCGAGTCCCGCTCGGCAGGGCCAGCACCACCCTTCCCGGGATGTCCACCAGGGACAGCGCTCGGCCGGGCGCCACGGCCGTCTCCAGACAAGCAGGGTTTTTTCAAAAGGTAAATTATTCATCAGCGCAGCCGCCGTTCTCAGAAACAAGGTGCCCTCGGTGCAGGGACTGAGTTTCCAGCAGAACGGGAGCGTGAGGCTGTCCACGTGGGGGTGCCCACATGTGTCCACTCGTTTACACGTGTCCACGTGTGTTCACGTGTGCAACGGTGTCATGTGTTCACACGTGTCATGACACGTACGCGTGTCCGTGGGCCTGCGCTGGTGCGTGTGTCTGTCTCGTTTCTTGCTTCTGAGCAGCAGCTGAGAGACACGCAGCGCCGGCCCCGCCTGCTCTGCTGGGCGTCGCCCCCGCCCTTCGAGAGACTCGGGCCGGCTGGGTTGCGGGCGGGCGGGCGGGCGCTGCTGGCCTTGGTGGGCCCTGCGGCGCGGGGTTAACTTTTAAGAACTTCCTGCGTGCAGCAAAATGTTTCTGAGCAAAAACAGATTGAGAAAGGCCCATGCCCAGCGCGCCACGCCAGCTCGGGAGCGCCAGAGCCATCGGGGAGGCTCTCCCCTGGGAGCTGCTGGCTCCCTCTCAGGCTCCCCCTTAGGGTCACGCGCAGAGCAACTTCCCTCGGCCTGGCCGCTCCCCTTTATTCCCCGGCCTGTCCCTGTGGGCAGAGGACCAGGAGGGAAGAGAGAAAGCAAGCTGTGCGCTGGCTCACAGCAGTGTAGACCGTGAATACACCAGGGTGTGAATTCTGGGGCGCTGTGAATTTGGCCAGACTGGCCCTGTGTGTGTGTGTGGGGCACAGAAATCCCGCAGCTCTCGGGAAACGCCCCAGTGAGGGTCAGCACGAGAAGCCCCGCCACTTGGCACACACCGAGCTCGGTGCTGCGGCTGAGGGGACGGCACGGGGCATCACCCGCGGGAGCGGCCCCGCGGCACACGTGCCTGCTTCCCAGGGCGGGGCCGTCGGCACCAGCGCCCTGATGGGGCGAGTTGGCAGCTTCAGCTCTGGGCTGGACTGGGGAGGGGCCACACTGGCTGGTGGGAGAAGGGGGGCAGGATGAGGACGGGGGGGGGGCAACAGCTACCCAATAGGAGCTGCTCCCCGAGTCTCTCAGCTTCTGGCAAGGGGCTTTCAAGAGGCCCCGAGGCTGCCCAGGGCCCAGTGTGCCAGCCCTGCTGGCCATGCGGGTCCTGGGCGTCGTGGATGGGGGGCAGCTGTGATCTAGAGAGCTGCTGCTGGGCAGTGGGGTGTGACCGCAGAGGCGGCCACTGGAGCTGCGGGTGCTGCTGGGCTCGGCACCTGCCTGGGGTCTCTCCACCCCTGACCCTCAGCTCAGCTCATCTGTCTGAGATTTCACTTTGATGAGAAGCTGCTGCCAGCTTGGAGGGGTTTGCAGGGGGCTGTGGCATGGGGGGGCAGAGGGCTGCTATGGGGGCTGGAGATTTGGAGGTCCCAGTGGAGGCCCCCAGGGCTATCCCTCAGACCCAGGTCAGGACATGTCCAGAGGACCAGTGGGTCCCTGGGTTCGCAGAGCTCTGGCCCGTGTCGGCTGTGGGGGCGCGCAGAGGGAGGATGCGAGAGAGCCAACAAATAACTTCACGAACAAAAGCTGAGTTCTGGAAACCCGATGCAGGAGAGAGGATGATTTGATTACAGCCGCTTTTTAAATTGAAGCCAGCAGCCTTGGCTGGAGAGAGCATTTACATAATTGAGCAGGGAAGTTCACTGCCAACATGGGCAGCGCTTCCCACCGTGCTCAGATGCCAGCCCCCGCCCCCGCTCCAGGGCCCTGTATTCCCTGCGCCCTAACTACGCCCTTAGGATGTGGAGATGCCTGGTGCGGGGCAGACAGCCCACAGGCGCGCTGGGAGACCCCGGTGAGCACTTTCGCCCAGCTCGGGGCCTGGACACGCAGGGGGCTTAGCCAGTGGCCGGTGTCCAAGAGTTCCATGTTTCCGGCCACACGCGCGCGCACACACACACACACACACACACATCATTTAGAGCCTGGAAGAGAAGGCAGATGGGGGGGCCCTCGTGGGAACAAGAGCGACAGGACCACTGAGAGCTCCGGGCCTTCCCCAGGAGCCCCTTGTGGGGGTGTCTTGGCCCGCCCCGTGCGTCCCTGAGAAGACACGTACTTGCCGGCTGCGTAGACTTCTGCCGTATCGAAGAGGTTGATGCCATTGTCGTAGGCCAAGGTCATTAGCTGCTCTGCCATCTGAAACAAGAAAAGCAGAGCTGCTCCAGCAGCATGTCCTGCCCCCCCCAACATCGCGGGGTGCCTGGAAGGTCCAGAACACAGCCCTGGGGCCTGGGGGGCGCCAGGCCCTTCCTTAGGCCCCTCAGTCCTCTCCTGCTGGGGGCAGGCACGGAGGCAGCCTCAGTCACGGCCGTGCAGAGAGCAAAGAGGACCAAGGGAGGAAGGAACCGCGGATGCTGGGAATTTCTCGGAGCAGGGGCCCCATCCGCAGGGTTTGGCTCCTGCGCTAGGCTGAAGGTTGTCCCCAATTCTCATCCGCTTAGAACCTCAGGCTGTGGCCTTATTTGGAAGTGGGGTCTTTGCAGATTGAATTAGCTACGATGAGGTCCTCCCGCGCCGGGTGGGCTCTAATCCAATCAGAGGGGTGTCCTCAGAAGAGGAGACAGACCCGGGGGCCGGTGAGGATGGAGACAGAGGCTGGGGTGTTGTTGCAACGACGCCAGGGCTCACCAGCCATGGGCAGAAGCCGAGGCGGCGTGCACAGATTCTCCCCGGAGCCTTCAGGGCGAGCACGGCCCTGCTGATACCCTGATTTTGATTTCTGACCTCCAGACTGTGAGAGAACAAACTGTTGTTTTCTGCACAGCCCAACAGGTCTGCTGTTGGTGTTGGCAGGAGGAAGAGCTTGGAAAGCTGTGGCTAGCGCGTCCTGTGAGACCGCGCATGCCAGGCCCAGTACCGTTATTGTTTGCAGATGGAGAAACTGGCATCCTCAGCTAGTCAGCTGGCTCCAGCCAGCGTCTCCAGTGCTAAGTGCTCCCAGCCCGGGGCCGCGGCTGCCTGCGGGAAGGGATGATGAATTGCGTCCATGCCCTCACGCCTCCCCGATTTGCTCTTAGGCTGCTGCAAGGGTGAGCGTGAGCTCTGGGAGCAGTGACTGGCTGGCAGCGGGGGCGAGGGTTAAGGAGCCAGGGGTGCCCTGCAATTAAACCCCGCTCCGAGATGGAGTCGTGAGGGGGCCTCCTGGACTCTGCTGGCTCTCAGGACAGTGTGGCTATCCCTCTGGGTTCATGGACGCAAACTCCCCCACTTCTTGACGTTCATCTCAGAGCATCAGGCCTCTGTCCCTGGACGGGGTGAATAGTACTGAATGGCCCTCAAGAACTGCAGGACCGAATGCCAGCCAGGCGTGACTCCATGGAAGGTCTTAAGCCCAGAAGCCAGTTAGGAAGAGGGAGGCTGTGTCGAGCCTGAGCTACAGGGAGGCCTGAGCCCCCTGCTGCGGAGGGAAGGGAATCGGCAACCAGGCCCCGAGACAAGCTGATCTACCTTCCCCAGGCTTGTTTGTGCGGAGACTCCTGAGCTGGGCTCCGGCCCTGTGCCTTGTCCCCTCTCCCTCTGCGGCCCCTGCAGGGCCTGGCCTGCGCCGTGAGAGCGGGAGGGAGTAAGGGAGTCGGAACCAAGGTCCAGAAGCTGGGGGGTCCGATGCTGGTGCTGGGCAGGAGCGTGGAGTTCCTCCTGGGAGCAAGGGGCCGGCTGGTGACTGACAAGGTCCCCAAAATGCCTCTTTCCTAAACTTTCCCCACTTCCTCCTCCCATTCCTATGGAGCCCCAGGGGGGCAAAGCTGATTTTTTTCTGCCTGTCTCCGAGTCGGTGACCGTACAGCAAAGCTCTCTCTGCTGGTGCCACGGTGTTGGCTGCCATGCGCCACGGGCAGTGAGTTCCCTGCTGGGCAATGTTCTAGAGGTCCCTGATTTTTCAAAAGAAGCTGTCCATTCAGGATATTTGGGGGAATCTCTTGGTTTTCAAGTGTTGGCGAGGAAACCCAGGGAACTGTGGCGCTGAGCCGGCCAGAGGTCACTCCCGTTAGCTGCTAACATGGAATCTTGAAGCCCAGGTTGTGAAGAGGTTTCTGGGCTCACTGCAGGGCTGACGCTCCCTGTAGCTCAGGCGTAACGACGCTGCAGGTGGATCCCGGCGGCCTCTTCTCCCCTGGCTTCCTCCACCTCGGGGCTTTTTTCTCTGCTTTCACTGCTCCAGGTACAGGCCTCACCGATGAGCTCAGCCTCACTTTTCTAGATGTGTCCCAGCTCTGCGCAGGAGAGCTGACTGCTTCGGGGGTGCAGACTGCCTCCTGAGGGGGGCTTCTGCGTGGAGGTCACTCCGAGCAAGGGCTGTTTTCTCATACTTTGGACTCCTGTGTGTTCTCGTACCGTCTTCCCAGCATGAAGCTCGCTGCATTTTTACATTTTGCTGTTTTCACCTTCACATCCTGGAAATCAGTCCTCATCAGTGGAGAGCGCTCCTTCGCTCATTCAAAAAACAGACGCCTCCACATGTGACCTGGGCCCGGCTGGGTCTCTGGGCCACGCGTTCTTGGATGGTGCCTGTTTCCCCAGCTGAGCGAGGACAGCGCCGCTGAGCATGGTACCCTGGGCCGCTGTGCTGGCCCTGCGGGCACGGCGCAGGAGCTGGGGGCCGGGCTGGAGGGCACTCTGCCCCAGCCGCCGCGTGTGGTCACGGGAAGGGCGTCTGGCGAGAAGGGGCCGGAAACCTGACCCCGCAGTCCTGGCATCTGACCGCTGCCCTCAGGGTGAGATGCTTCCTCTGCAGCCCCCAAGGCATCCCGTCCTGGGGCCAGAGCCGCTGCCGCCCCGTAGGGCAGAGAGAGGCCAGACTTTGCTGTGAAGGGCCAGGGAGTAAGTCCTCTAGGCTGCTGGAGTCTCTGCCCTTGTCACTTGGAGATGCCCCTGACCGTCCACGGTGACACTTTCTGGATGAAAACAGGCTTCAGAACTCACAGAGACACGGCAGACAAGAGGCCCCCCGGGGGAGTCCCTGCCCAGTGGGGTCGTGCGTTTTTGTTGGACTGAGGAAACGATTTGGAGACAGCGCTGACGTGGCACCACCGCCTGGATGGCCCTTGGCCACTGAACATGCTCTGGGGAGAGTCATGGGCCCAAGCGTCCATGAGGCACATCCCAAGCACACCTGGAGCAGCTGCCAGGCAACTCCTGTGTTTCACATACGGAAATGAAAACAAGAAAGAAAAAACACCAGGTGGGGGCCGGGCCTGGGGGCTGCCCTTGGCTGCCAGCTGGGGAGCCACCTTAGGGAGACGCCCTTTGCCACTGGCCGTGCCCTGGCTCATACCTCTGCCCCTCCTGGCACCTGGGCACGGGTCGCCACACAGGAAGTGATGCCAGCAGGACCCTGCTCTGTGTCCCCCACCCTGCCCAGCACTCCCTCGGAGGTGGACTTGAGGGGAACAGTGCTCCGGGGCCTCCCACCTGGAGTGCCCGGTGGCCCGAGGCCTCCCAGGGGCAGCAGCCCAGGTGTTTCTCCGCAGCCCAGACGGGGCTGGCTTGTATCCCCAAACCCGCTGGCTCAGGCCGAGCAGGCAGCAGATTGAGGTAAGACCCAGGCATTCGCATCCGACCCCTGGCCACGTGGTCCCCTGGCACTCGGCGCACAGATTTGGGGGACACTAACTAGGTTCTAATGCGAAGGTTCTGTTGGCTCCTCTGCACAATCATTTTCACCTGCCAGGACCTCTGGAATCCTGGGTCTGTCACTGTGGTGTCCACTGTGGCCCCAGCTTTGTGCCACCTGGAAATGACTTCCCGTCTCTTCACCCACATCACTATGTCGCTACCACAGCACGGGGGGCCGCAGCCTCGGGGCCACCAGGTCACCCATTAGTACTCCCTGGGTGCAGTGGATCCGCCGGTAACGAGTCACCTAACTGGAGAGTCCCCAGTGGCCACTTTTCACATGTTCCCCACGTGGACACCACACAGTAGCTGCTACCTCAGCGACCTCTGACGGGGGCACGGGCAGGTCAGACCGAGCTAATCTGGAGCCAAACCCTTCTGGGCTCCGGGCGCCGGGCTCCAGCGGCTACGCTCAGCCAGTCTGCGGGCTGAAGGTAAAACTGTTCCCTGTGCCTTCGAACTTCCTACTTCACCCCGAGAAACCCAGGCCAGAACCTCGAAGCAGGGGCCCGGAGCATGGCCACTCGCCACCGTCACGAAGAGAAAAAGGAGCAAAAGCGCAAAGGCCGTGCTTTGAGATCTTGATGGAAGCAGAGCTTTTCCTTTGAAAACTAACCGAGCAATCACAGCGAACCAGGTCTCCAATGAACCGGCTTATTAATTTTTAAACGCAACCTTTCCGGCAGCGAGTGGGGCAGACGTGCAGACGGCTTCTCCTGCAGACGTCCAGAGCGCTCTGAGCAAATGCCAGGGCTCTCATTTCCAAGAGAGCCACTCAGCACCCCAAGGGCACACCAGTCGGGGATCCCGCATCCCCAGACAGACCCCGGCACGGGCGCTGCCTCCCAGCCGGGCCCAGCGGGCGGCTCACGCGCTGCACGATGGTGAGCTGCGGTGAGGAGCGTGGTAAAATGTCCGTCTGCCGCGTCTCCCGCTCGCAGGCAAGTGTGTGGAGTCTGCATTGTAGGTGACCTTGGCACGTATTTATGGAGCTTCAAATGCACACGGGCTACTCTGGGGGTGCAGCTTAGGCCTGTGCCCGGCTTTATCATTTGGAAGACATGTCCTTCCTGAACTCAGGGCTGCCCGCGCAGGGGTTATGCAGACGGGGCGCCTGGGTTTCCGGGGCTTAAAGGACTTGCAGGGAGGCCGCTGCTGTGAGCACAGGCTCCCCGTGCGTGGGGCGGTGCCACTGCGTGCCCGGGCGAGGGCAGGCCCTGCGGGGGTTCGGCCCCCACCATGTCTTACCTCATCCGTGATCTGGCCTCCGAAGGTCACCCATGTTCCTGCAGGGAGACAGAGGCTGGAGTCAGGACCTCCCCAGGGTCCAGAGTCATCCCTGGTCCTGGGACCTCAGGCTGCAGGGCGGGGGCGGGGCAGCCACAGCTCACACCATTCTGCTCTGCAGTGGGCGTGTCCTTGGCAAGCATGGACATGTGTCCCTCCCGGGGCCACCCCCAAGGGGGGTAGGTGGCTGTCGGCAGGCTGGGGAGGGTTTTTTGGGGGCGCCAGCTGGTAGAGGGACACGAGAATGGCAAGAGCAAGGGACACTCCTGAGAAACTGCAGGGCCAGGCTGCCCTGTGCTGCCCCTGCTGGTGGCGCGTGTGCGCGAGCAGGCGGTGGGGGGGGGGGCGGTGCTCTTGTCTGGCACACACAGGGATAAAGAGCAGAAGTCGCTGCCCTGCACGGGGGACGTGGCCACACAAAGGAACAGGCGTCCTCCCGTTCGTGGGCCGCAGGGCTTCTCTGCTGTCTTGCTGGGTTTTCTGGTGCCCGGCAGGGGCTGTGTGGGCAAAGGGCCCCCGCTCTGGCCTTGCCTCCCGCACTAAGGCTGTATCTCCTCCCCTCCCTCCCCTAAGCTCCCCCCCACCTGCCCCCACCCTCCTCTGAGTACAGTTCTCTTCCTTGGGGTGCCCACACTCACCGAGCCCCAGGCAGGAGACCCGCAGGCCCGACTTGCCCAGGTTCCTGGAAAAGAAATGCTGAGTGAGTCCTCTGAGGCCAGGACAGGACCTGCCTGTGGGGCGGCCCCTGCCCCCCACCGTTCCTAATGCCAGAGCCACCCCCACCAGGGCATGCCCTTTGCTGTGACCTGGCAGAGCCTGGAGGGCCACCTGGAGGGGGTGACGGCCGGCTCCGCCTTGTTTCAGGGGCTGACACCAGATTCCCTCTGCCGTGGTGGCCACGGCTTCCTCCCCAAGAAGCTACTCTGGCCATTTCTTTGGCCTCCTTCGTGGGCTGTGTCTCGACTTCCTCCTCTGGGGAGTGAAGTGCAGTCCCGAGTCGCCTGGGCCACGTGGCCCTTGATCTGTCCTGCTGGGCAGGGACAGGAGGCAAGAGCTCTGTGGTGGGGTTCCCTCTGGCCCTTGAGGGAGGCCTGGCCTCGCCTCGGGAGGGGGTGGTCCTGATACCCGACCGCCCCGGTCAGGGCCCGGCGGTGCACAGGTGACCACAGAGGCCACGGCCACAGCTGCCCGGGGCCTGTCTCAGGGCACGGGCTGGGCCGCGGCATCACTGCTGTCTCTGGGAGGATGTGATGGGACAGGGCCCCGCTGAAGACCAGGCTGCCCGTCTCCTGGACAGATGGTGGAGGCTGGGGGGATGGCGCAGGCCGGGAGGACCTCAAGCCCCTGTCACCGGCCCTCCCACCCCCAAGCTGAGCTCAGCACACTCCATCCCGACACCACGACTCCCACCTTCCCGAGAGCAGAGAGCACTGCCCAGAGCGGGGGCTGCTGGGGCTCCCCTCAGGCCGCAGCCCTGGGAGCACACTCCCCTCCACGACGCCCCCTTTCCAGGCACGGGAGAAGCTGCACAGACGGCGAAGCTGACCAGTGGTGGGCAGGGGTCCCGCAGCAGGGCCCTGACCCCGGCGGGCTCTGGGGCCACATCTGGTCCCTGGGGCCAGCCCCGGTGGCGGGAAGTCAGAGGTGCAAGGGGTGAACCCCGACCTCCTTTGCCAGCGGACCCTAGCATTTCCCTGGGACACCCCACTTCTAACTTGAATGGCTGCTGTGTCCTCATCTTCCCTCCCCTGACCCGGCACCCTGGGAGGGCTGTGGGGCCTTTGCAGCACCCTCTCCACTGGGGTCCCTGCCTGGTTTCCAGACCCCGGGGGACCCCCGTTCCCAGGAGCTCGCTGGCGCAGGAGGGGGTCTAGGGGATGAATATAACAATCTTGCAAGCAGTTCGAAAACACAGGAAGGTGTCCCTGAACTTGAAGTTCTCGGTCACCCCACTGTCTTCTCAGACTTCCCATTTAAACCCGTTTGGCTGGGGACCCCTTCTTCCTGCAGGGCTGGCAGCTGGCTTCTCTTGGGGGACCGGGAGTGGGTAGGAGCTGAGCTCAGCCCTGGCCGGACCTGCCTGGTGGGCCCGGCGGGCCCGCCTGCGGGGGGCAGGATGGAGGGTCACGGCCCCTGCCTGTGTCCACATTGGGCAAGCCCCCCGCCCCCTGTGACCTGGGAAGCAATTTCCTGGCCAGCCAGCGGTGAGGGCCAGGCTTTAGGCCCGTCCTCCGGAGACTTCTCTCCGACCACCTCGGAGCACAGGCCGGGAGGCAGCGAGCGCGGGGAGACCAGGCTCTAGCGGGCTGGCGCGGGCGCAGAGCAGGCCAGGCCCGAGGGGGACGCGCGCCGCCTGCGCCCAGAGCCAGCTCCGAGCTCCCTCCCCCGGGCGTGGGCCCTTCAGCTGCCTCCACCCGCTGCCCGCAGGCATAACTGGACAACAACCCGACGCTGAGTGACGCCACCACCGCCCGGCTCAAAGGACGGGGTTCGTGCTGCCCCCGCGGCCGGCCTGGGGAGACGGAGCAGAAGGGGCGGCCGTTGCAGGCGAAGCTTCGTAAGTACGGGCGCCCGGTGGGGGTTCCCAGCCAGGGGCCTCCCTGCTGAGGGCTGTGACTCTACACAGATGGTTCCTTCAGATTTTTCTCCCCTAACCAAGATGACAGTCGGGTACAGTAGTTGGCTGAATCTCTCCTAGAATGATGTTAGTCTCGGTTAATCGTCTCTCGTCCCCTGTGGCCTGGAAAACAGTCAATGAGGACTCACGGGCCTGACCGTTGCTAGAGGGAAGCTCACCCGTGCCGCTGAATGCCCTGCACCCCACACTCTGCACCCCCGACTGTGGGGATTACAGATTCCCTTAAAAATAGTTTAGGGGGCCTCCCCTGGTGGCGCAGCGGTTGAGCGCGGGGCTGCGAGACTGCCCGTAGCCTCTGCAGCGCCAGTTCGATCCCCGGCCACCGGCGAGGGTCCCACAAAAAAAAAAAAAATAGTTTAGGGTCTTTGATTCAGGGATCTGGGTGGAGGGCAAAAATATGATCAGGTCATGGGAAACACTTGGATTTGAGGAGCTAGTTTGGTGATGAAGGAGCCGGGAGGGCTTCTGGGTGGCTCCTTGCTCTCCGGCACCCCTGCCCCGCCGTGCCCCTGCCCCGCTGTCCCCCCGCCCCGCCGTCCCCCCACCCCCGGCAGCTCCCCATGGCTGAGCCTGGGCTTCCAGCCTTTTTCTTCGGACAGGCTGGCGGCAGTAGCAGGTCCCAAGGGTGCTTGTTGCTGTGACTTGGGGGTGAGAAGGTTGGGACTTGGGGTCAGACCCTGGGGTCCATGGGGCTTGGCTTGCACTAACCCGCAACCCACCCCCCCAGCACCCCTTGGGTCTTCTGGCAAAAATGTGGCTACTTGATGCTTTAGTTCTCTTAACAGGGGAGAGGGGGCTGGAGCCTCCACTGGGTCTGTAGCACACTGGGGGGCGGGGGTGTAGGCAGGGATTAGACCCCCTACACCCCTCTCTGTACCCTGATGCGGCCCTGACATAGTCATAATGGAAGAACCCCACAAGGCAGGCACCCCGTAAGGTAGGCTCGCCCTGCCCGGCAAGGGCACCCGAGGCCTGTGTTCCGACTTCCACTGCAGCTGCTCTGAGCCGTCCTACTGGGCATGAACCTACCTCCCTCCTGGCCCCTGCCGGGGGGCTTACAGCCCTGCTTGAGGGGGACAGACGGTGGGGGAGTCCCACAGAGAGGACGCGCTGGGCTCAGACTGCAAAGCCAGAGAGCCCCTCTCTTTATTGCCCTGCGTCTCCCCACCGCCTCCCGAGTGTGCCACTCACATGCACGTGCACACGCGCACAGGACACGGTGCAGCACCGCACACAAGGTACATGCCTGTACACACAGACACACACACTCACACACGCGCACACTCAGAGCTCATAAGAGAGCCGAGAGCCGAGCTCAGTGGAGCTGGGAGGGAGCCAGGGCGCCTCCTTCCCACCCGCAGGCTGTGCATTCGCGGCTGCGCTGACTCCTGATGCGCCTGAGGCGGGTCCTGAGTGGGGGCGGCGGGTGCTCACCCTACACATGTCCCGTGTGTTCTGTTTACTCCTGGCTTTCCAGCCCCACTTACTAAGATACAACCCCCAGAGCTTCCGGAGTGGAGCATTCTGTTCTGAGGTGTCCCCGCTAAGCTTAGAAGTGGGAACAAGTGCTTTTTACCCCAAAGGCTCATTAACCTTGTCACCCCCACGGGCGCAGGGAAGGAAGGGGTACGGGTGGGGAGCGCGACTCATCGGGGGCGTGGCCTCGGGGCTGGGGCCTGCCCAGGGAAGTCCAACTCAGGCGCTGGCTCTGGGGAGTTGGGAGCGCTCAGTCCCGCCTGAGCTGGCCTCACCCTCCCTTAGAGACCCGGATGTGCCCCCAGCAGCTGGGATCACCTGGCCTGTTCTGAGGCTGGTGGCCTGTGGGACAGCTGTGGTCACTGAGTCGTGCTCACTCCTATTTTGGGGACACTTCCTGGGACCTGGGAGTCAGTGGCCTGGTTAGCTTTCCCGGCACAGGCAGCCCAGCTGGGGCAGAGCCCCGCTCCCAGGGACGCCGTCTGTAGTAAGCCCCAGGGCTGCGGGGCCGGCACTGCCCTGGGCGCTGACCAGCATCTGAGCAAGGCCCTGGGAGGGGCAGAGGCCCGCCTCCTGCCTGCATGCTTTGCAGCCTCTGTGTGGACCGGCCGGAGCAGGGGACCCCCCAGTCGGGGCTGAGCCACCACAGGAAGTGCCAGGAGCCACTGGCTGCTCCTGAGCCCCTGTCCTGCCTGGAGAGGCGCCGGGGCCTGGACTCTGCTCCGGCCAGTGAGGAAGGCTGGTTCCAGCGCACCCTCTCTCAGCGTCCCGACCACCCACCCAAAGTTCCTGTTGGCGGCCTCTGGTCAAGCCCACGGCCCACCCCGGGGTGGGGGTGGCTGGTGTCCCAGGGCTCCCAGGAGAGCATCCCACGGAGTCTGACTGGGGCTCGGCTGTCCCTAACCGCCCCTCACCGGCGTGGAAACAAACGGGAAGGAAGCCCAGTGGCCACAGCCCTGCCCTCCTCACTGCCAGGACAGATTCAGGGCTGACCCTGCCCGGCGTCGTTTCTCACCCCACCCACCAAGGGCTAGTGAGCCCCCCTCAGCCGCCGGCACACCCAACCGACTGCCCAGGGGCTCGTGCATGCGCCAGCTCTCCCCAGGGGGCAGCGGGAGGGGACACCTCGTACCTGCACTTCATCCCGGGCGGCTTCCCGCGGGCGTTGCCAGTGCTCGGGGGCTCTGCGCCGACAGCTGCCCCAGGCCCTGCACCACCATGGCCACCGCGCGGAAGCGGCTGCGGCTGCCCAGGTGGGGGCTGTCAGTGGCTGGCTGGCCCAGCCGCTCCTCGGGGCCCTGGCCCTTGAGGCTGTGCTCGGAGCACACGAAGGACACCTGCATGCTGGCCGGTCACTCATCTGTGCCCCTGAGCCCTGCTACCGGTGATGAGCTCCTCCCAAGAGGGCGAGGGAGCAGCTGGGGCTCCCAGCCTCCAGGGGAGGGAGTCAGGTCCCCAAAAACGTACTAGGAAAGACCCCAGAGGGGACTCAGAGACATGGGTGGCAGTTTCATCCCCGCTCACCGGCCCGGCTGCAGTGCCTCTCTGCCCGCCCTGGCCTGGCTCTG